CTCTGTCTGTACACACGTGGCTGGAGGTGCTCCAAGCCCTGGTGTAAACTCTTCTGTCATAGTGGAAATACCCGCTGTGACGCAGAGGTGACTCACGCTGCCTTATCTTGTCCCACCAACTTTTCACAGCCATCCTCCACCCAAACAGCAGCACGCCCAGCGCCCGGCTCCATCTCCTCCTCAGCCTCCAAATCACAAAGCCTCCGGCTTGGAGCACGTGCCTGTCACTAATCCTGGCTCTGGGGCGTTGCCACGAGTGTTTTACTTCTCTGCAGACACAAGGATCTCTAAGCTCGTGTCTCCCAAGGGATGGGAGGTCCTAGAACACAACGGACCCTCTAAACATCATGTCTCCTTTTCCCTCTGTGCCTGCCTCTGCTCTCGCCTCCTAAACTTCTTCTCATCCCTACCTGGTGCTGAGCTCTCGCTGACAGCTCTGTCCCCTGTGAGACCAGTCGCTGCCAGATGTGCAGACCCTGGCACAGGTGCTTTTGATGCTGTAAATTGGAGAGTGCAACGTTTCAACACCGAAAGCGTACCAGGATTTTATCTCCACTGCGGGTGCGGCAATCCCCGTTGCTCCATCCTCCTTCCATTCCTCTTGTTATTCTCATAGTGAGCATCACCCTTCATCAGCACTGCCATCCTGGTGTCACCCTTCCTGTCCAACCCTCCCCAGATAGTGACGTTGTTCTTTCATAGAATCATGATTTGGGTTGGAAGGGACCTCAAAGCTCATCCAGTCCCAACCCCCCTGCCAGCAGCAGGGACACCTTCCACTAGACCAGGTTGCTCAAAGCCTCATCCAACCTGGCCGAGAACACTTCCAGGGAGGAGCAGCCACAGCTTCTCTGGCCAACCTGGGACACTGGCTCACCACCCTCACAGTGAAGAACTTCTTCATATCTCATCTAAATTCTTGTTCCCCCTTCCATCTTCACAGATGAAACCTCCACCTGTTCCTGACACTGCAGGTCTGGAGAAGCTCTTCTTTGTGATTTCTAATGAATGAAGCTGGGTTGGTTTTCCCTTCCCTGCTCTCATGAAGCTTGGTGTTCAAGAAACATGTAGCTGTAG